CTGGAGAGGGGGGAAAGCACAACCAGGAGCTGTCTGGCAGCTCGGGACTGCCCCATGGTCTCTGGGGGCAGAGAAGATGTTTGGTCACCCAAGGAGGATCCCCCTGCACCCCTCCAGGTGTGCTCAGCACATCTGGACCTGGAGCAGCCCTGCCTGAGGGAGGGGACTGAGTTACCAACTCCAGAAATTGCTGTTTGTTAAAGCAGGGCTCAGAAAAAAAAACCCCCAATCACCATTTATTTTTGTCATCACTGAAGGTGGTTTTCCAGCTCCTGGTGGCATCCAGAGCTCCCAAGGGAGAGAGCTGAGAGAGAGAGGCTCAGTGTCAGGACTGGGGACACTTAATTCAGATAAAGAGCCACGGGCTGTGAACCTGGAAAACACCAACTCCCAGCCCCGGATGTTCCCATGGATCTGCTCTGCTCTGGTTACTGCAAAAATGGCCCCGAGCCAGAGACTTACTTGGAAAAGCAGAGGAAGTCTGCAGCAAGGGGGAGAGGGTAATTCCTTGAAATGCTGTCTTTGGGGATGGATCTGCAGTTGCTGGAAATTCCTTCCCTGGAAGCTCAGCTGCAAAGCTCAGCTCTGTCCCAGGCCTGAGCAGTGCCTGGTGCTCAGCACTGGGACACTCTGACCCACAAGAGGTGAAGCCTCCTGTCTGTGGGGTTGCTCAGGAGGCAATTTCCTACAGGAACCGGTCCAGGAACCAGTCCAGATGGAAAAGACAGAAAGCAGCTGGGGCACCTAGGGAGGTGGGGTTTTTAACAGTGCTACAAACAGTGTTAATAAGCCCAAAAATGCAGCTGGATACCCCCAGGAACACTCAGCAGCAACGTCCACAGTCACAGGGGCAGACAGTGAGGATGGGAGGGATCACCAGGCTGGCAACCAGGCAAGCAGCCCTTGGGGTGTTTGATGAAGATTGTCTTCAGGTGGAGACAACAACCCTGTGGGGCTGGCAGAGCCCCTCACCTGGTATCAGCTGCTGGGGATGGGCCCTGGTCCTGCAGAACCCAAAAAGCAGCTAGAGAAGGGCTGGGCACAGCTCCCAAACATCACACATATCCAAAGCAGCATCTTGTACCAGCAGCATTAAATCTGAAGCCAGTTCATATCTGGGAAAATTAGGAACTTACAAAAAGAGGAAAATAATAAACTTTTAAAAAAGAAAATCTAAAATAGCATTTTGTGCCTCTGTCCTAACTCCCAGGAACCACAGGCTGAGGGATCAAACCTTGTTCCTCAAGGGACTGATAGCACCATTTGGTATCAATTTTCCATCTGACTGTTCCTTTTAAGGAATTTTTTTCTCTTGCTTCAGAAAATTCATGCTCCCAGGGAGCGTGGATCTGAGCTGGCTGCACATCACCAGAGGCTCGGATTTCAGTGGGATCTCCCTGCTGCAGTGTGGGCACACACAGCACGGGGAAGGGAAACAGGGACTCCGTATGGGGCTGGGGTCTGGTTTACCCCAGCAGAGCCAGCGTTTGGCACATGAACAGCCATGAGAAGGTGCCTTGGGAAGCCCTGTGCCCACAGCAGCAAGGATGGAGCATCCCAAAGTGATGCTCTGTGCCAGGGGCTGAGCCTGTGGCTCTCACTGCCCGGACACAGTAAAATCAACAGCTCAAAGCAAGAAGCACAGGGGGTTTTGTTGCCCTTTCTGAAAGGCAGGAGAATTTCTGGCAGCCCTGAGTAGAGGAGTTTGTGCACAGACAGGCTTATTCCCAGAATTATTTCCCAGAAATGGTCCAGCCCCGACTCTGGTGAGTGGCAAGGCAATAAAATTAAGGTCTTGTGTCCTCACGAGCAGGAGGTAGAAGGACATTAAGTCACACTCTTTCAACGAGGCATTAAGCACCGTCAAGTTTAACACCAACATCCAACACGCCCTGAAGAGCCACGACTTCACTGCCAGAGCCTGGACTTGCTTTCTGCCACAAAAACACACCCAGCACCTTTCCAGGAGGGCAGGGGGGTGATGCTGGGGTCACCCAGCACTGTCCCTGTCCCAGGGAAGGGACACGGGCAGAGCTCTCTGCAGCCCTGGGTGACAGCCAAGGTGACAGAAGGGTGTGCAGAGCTGAGCTGGCCAAGCACACAGGGCAGCTCAGGGCCAGGCACTGCCCGTGCCAGCACTGCAGCACCTCAGCTCTGTGTCACACCGAGACAGAGATGAAACCAGCACAGAGCCCCACACACAGCCTGGGCAGGCTGAGCCCCAGGCTGCACACAGGAGGGTGATGGGTTTAAGCTACAATTACCCATCCAGGTCCTAAATCCTGCACCACAGAGTCCTGCCCAAGACAGGATTAACCCAAGCAGCACAGGAGCACAGCAAACCCTGCAGTGCCCGGGCACAGCCCAGGATCTCCTCTAAAACCACACCAGCTGCTTGTCTTCCCTCCAGATATTTTCTTCCAGACAGAGAGGTGCATTGTGGCCAAGTACAAGAGAAACCAGGTGCCACCAGTCACTTCATCTCCCCCAGGCATCTTTCACCTGGATTTTGGGTCCTGCAGTCCCACAAAGGTTGGTACCCTGGAGCTTCCAGGAAGAACACCACCACCCCTATAAACTGCAACAATTCCACATTGCTCTGTTCGTTTCTTGGGGGTTTTTTAAGCAACAAGAGCTAAAACTCTGCCCCGACAAACACATCTGCCCACAACCACCCCAACATTACCCCACTCACCACCCTGCAGCACTGGAGGAGACCAGAACCAGAACTCAGGACAGGACCTGGATACCATGAGAAGGAGCAGAACAAACACACTCCCAAACCTCCTCTGCTCAACGGGGTTTAACCAATTTTAACTGGCAGTTTTAACCCAGCCCAGCTAACAAGGAACACCTGGAGCAATGAGGCACAGGTGAAGGGGGTAACACAGACATTGCTCCTGCTGTAGGAGGGTCTAAACCCTCTCCTCGCCCCTGCAGCCTCAGAGGATGCCCAGGCTGGGGGTGCTTCAGGAAAAGCAGGATAGAGATGGATACAGGGAATGGGAAAAGCCCTTGTGCTGCATTTATAAAAGCACCCTACCCCAGTGTGGATGGAGAGGGCTGTGTTATCTCTTTTCTCTCCTCCAGAGGAGACAGTGGAGCCTCTGGAGGGGAAGTAGACACCAAGCCCTGACAGTTCCCCCTCGGTGATGAAGTGCCTCGTGGATGGAGATGACTCCTTCATTTCCCATGGCTGTGCCAGGCCGGGTGAAAGGCGGCTCCACACAGTAAATCGAGATTGTTGTGATGATAACTGAGCCTGTGGGGGCCAATTAAAATCCTCAGGAGAGGGTGAATGACTTCACCCTGGCCTGGCGCAGGGGAGGGAGGGTGCTGCACCAGGGCTGTGAGAGCCCTGAACGCGCTGTACAAAGGGAATTGGCAAGGCAGAGTGAGTCAGGGCCAGGGAAGGACTCGGGGCTGTGAGAAGCATTTTAAAACGAGTTGGAAAATTCACAGGCAGCCAACAAGGTGACTGAAGTGCAGCAGGAAAACAACGGGAGCGCTGTGTGCCCAGGGACAGACAGACAGACACACGGCGGGGGTTCAGGGCAGGGCATCGGTGCCCAGGATCTCTGAGCATGCCCTGGTCACACTCCCTGTCCCCCCATGCCTGGGTCCCTCTGTCCCCCAGGGTCACACTCCCTATCCCGAGGATCACACCCTTTGTCCCCAGGGTCCTTCTGTCCCCCATGGTCACATCCCCTGTCCCCAGGGTCACACTCTCTGTCCCCCATGGTCACATCCCCTGTCCCCAGGGTCACATCCCCTGTCCCCCATGGCCACATATGGTCCCACTCCCTGTCCCCCAAGGTCCCATTCTCTGTCCCCCCTGTCCCCACTCTCTATCCCCGCTGTCCCCACTCTGTCCCCCATGGTCCCACTCTCTGTCCCCCTGTCCCCACTCCCTGTCCCCATGGTCACACTCTCTGTCCCCCATGGTCCCACTCTCTGTCCCCATGGTCCCACTCTCTGTCCCCCATGGTCACACTCTCTGTCCCCCCTGTCCCCACTCTCTGTCCCCGCTGTCCCCACTCTCTGTCCCCCCCATGTCCCGCACTGTCGCAGCCCCACAGCGCCCTCTCGCGGCCGCACGGCAGCAGCGCTCCTACAACGCGTTCTGCAAAACCACCAAAAAACCCCAAAACCACCGCCAAGGCCTGTGCTCGGAGCGCTATTCCCGTGTTTTTTATTTGTGCTCACTCGCCCCACTGCAGTGAGCACCGTCATGTCCTTAAAGCCTCTCAGAGGGAGCCACGCGTGGATTTTGCTGCTGCACCCTCTGCTGTCCCTGAGCCCCTGCCCCACTCCCGGCTCCATCGCTGCCGGCCCCGGCTGGGAGCTGCTCCTTTGCCCATGGATTCACTCGGATTCGAGGCCAGAGCGAGTTCACAGCTGCAGTTTGAGAATCACTCTCAGTGGGGATTCCTGTCACGGAGACAGCCCAGCAGTGGTGGCCACAGGAAGGGACTTGGCCAGTGCTGCTGTACCTGCAAAACACCCTTCAGGCATGGAGGAGAGCTCAGCCCATGGACCAAAGGGCCACCTTTCCCTGCTGTCTGGGCTCTGTCACTGCTGTTTCCATGGTCAGGCAGCCTAGGCCCACTGCAGGGCTCAGACATGGCCAGCAAGGAATGCACTGGCCCAGCAAGAATTGGGTTTAGGTCCTGTGCTCTTCCTGCCCAGTAAGAGGAAGGGAGGTGTAAGAGAAAAGTATTGCTTACCCCACTAGAAAGTCAGATGGACAAAGGTTTCCAGACCCCATGAGTATCCAGGTCACACACACTGCAACAAGTCCTCTGTCTGTGTCTCATCCTTGCCAGATGCTCCAGCACTGGCCCCTTTGGTTTTCCCAAGCTCCTGGCTGGAAGTGGGCAAGGCAGGTGTGGTAGACAACTACAGAACAATAATTTTCCCTAAATATTCCTGGGCTTTGGGATTCCTTCCCATGGAAGTGTGACCCAAGACCACCCACCCCCAGGTCACCCAACACATCATTTCAGAAATCTGCAACACTTTAATCAAACCCTACTTAAGGCCATTTCATGATTGCACATATTCCTCCTGAAAAGCACAAATATCTTCATTAGCACACAAGGACAGGGTCAAGCTTCTCCCTTGCCGTGGTCAGGCAGTGTGACCAGAGCCCTGACAGCCTCCCAGTGCCCATGGCCATGGCCAGAAGAGCTGATCCTGGATGGCTGAGCAGGCAGCAGGGACAACTGCCAGGAGCTGAGTGACAGCTCAGATGTACCACCAAGCTTTTGCCAAGGCTCATCTCACACAGTCACCTACAGCCAGCAGAGATTAAATAACAGGGCTGTGAGTTGGAATCGCTGTGGAGCACAAGGTCATGGCACAGAAATGGGGCTTTAAAAGTCACCACTACTCTCCAACACATGCAAAGGCTGGAGCAACCCCAGGCAGGCTCCAGGTACTGTGGGAAGAGACATCACTGAAGTGACAGCACCCAGAAATGATTTGCAGTGCAGTCCAGTTACATCAAGTGGCAATAAAACTGTGAGTGGCTCCAGGACAGCGTGCCCCATTCGGTGAGATGAACAGTGGCTTTTAAAAAGATCACTAAATCCCATCACTGCTACCTATACAAACCTCATTTATTTTAAAGGCTCCCATTAAAGTGCCTTTTATCCCTAGCAATAGGCAGTTTTAAATTGCAAATAACTTCTCAGATCAGTCAGCAACCATCTTCATTCCACCGGAGAGAAGGGCCGTGGCTCAGGCTGGCCCTTGGGGACAAGGGAACTTTGTGCTGAGGTCTCTGGATGAGCAGGAATGCTGAGCAGCAGGACAATCCCACAGCTGTGCAGGGTCTCCACTGAGCTGTCCAGAGGGCTTCACCTTCCAGAGAGCTCTGGGGATGTGAGGCAGGTGTCACCTGCAGCGTGGCTGTGTCCCAGAGGGAAGTTTGTCCCAGTGGGAACTGTGTCCCCGGGGAAGGAGGCGTGTCAGGGCAGGCAGCTCAGGCTTCAGCATCGTCCTGGCTCGGGGTGTCGGTGTCGTGCAGCAGTGGTGTGGTCTCGGAGGAGGAGGAGGGAGCTTTGCTCTGCCTGGCAGGGGCACTGGGGCTCTTCTCGGCGTCACTTCTCTGCAGGGGAGGGACAGAGGTCACAGCCTGGCCACACCCAGCATCCCCACCCAGGGCATCCCCACCCCAAACCTCTTCCAGCCCTCAAGGACTCTTTTCTTAAATTGAAGATTTTTGTATCTCCTTTTTGTACCCCTTTCAAAACGAGGTTATTTCATTATTTCCTTCCTGCCCACCAGCCCCTGTAACACCACCTGAAAAACACACTGAGGAGCTGCTGCAGGAGCCAGGGGACACTCAGTGCTGCACAGCATCGAGATGGAAGGCAGAGGGACAGTGCTGGGGGACAGAAGGGCTCAGAGACCCCCAGGCAGCACTCACTGTCGGCACCATGGCAGGTGCAGCCTTGGGGAAGGGTGGGAGGGTGGCAGCTGGTGCCTTGTGGCACCAATACAGCTCCTCCTCACCTGAACACTCACACCTACAAAACAGGTTCACCACCCTGAGAGCTGAGCAGGAGCCAGATACACCTTCAAACAGACCACATGGGCCCTGACCCTAATTAGTGCAAGAACCTCAGGAGGAAGCAGCAGGTGACAGGAGTGGGTCCCTTCCTGCTGCTGGGGACAGAGACACCAATCTGCCCCTGACCCAGAGCCTTCTGCTTGCTGGGGATGTGGACTGGGGTGCTGTGAGGCTTGTTTAACCCTTTGACCATTGCCCATTGCTGCTCCAGTGTGGGCACCAGTGATACCACCAGGAACACCTGGAGACTCTTTGGGCATGGTGGTATTTGGATCTTGGAGGAATTTTCAACCTTAATGAGTCTAAAAGTGTCTACAGACCTCAGGAGATACAGTCAGGGCAAAAAAGATGGTTGACATTCAAGGGTCACCTCCTCCAAGTTCAAGAATAGTACACCCTAACAAGCATCCCAAGCCAGGAAAAAAGTGCCAGCAGGGCAACATGGATGAACCAGGAGCTCCAAACACAAATGCAGAAAGGAGACAAATGGAAAGTGGGAGCAGGGACAGGGAACCTGGCAAGAACATGGGGAAACTCTCCCAGCATGCAAGGATGAAGACAGGAAAGCCAAAACCCAACTGGAACTGAATCCAACGATGTCAAAGACAATAAAGGCTTCTCTAAGTACCCAGGTGACAAAAGAAAGGAGGGAGCAGTGAGGGTCTGGGGCTGAATGAGCCAGGGGACCCCAGAAACCAGGGGAAAGTCTGGAGCAAGGAAGATGCACCCTTGGTGGAAGAGGATGAGGTCAGAGAATATTTAAGGAACCAAGACATGCACAGATTCATGGACCAAGAGGGGATGAGTGGGCTCATGTCACAGCAAGGCCATTCCCTGTTGTCTTTGACCCTTCCTGGCCCAAAGACTGGAGGAAAGCAAATGACACCTCTAACTGGAAAAAGATCAAGAAGGAAGAGCTCAGCAGCTAGAGACCAGTCAGTCTCCTTTCATCCTTGAGAAAGTGATGGAGCAACTAATTCTAGAAACCACTTCTAGGCACATGAAGGACAAATTACCAAGTGTAGGTTGGGCTTCCTCAAGGGGAAACTGTGCTTGACCATCTGTGATGAAATGACTGCCTTGGCAGATCAGGGGAGAACAGTGGACACTGACTACCTGGACTCCAGGCTTTGGACACCATCTCCACAAAAACCTGACAGGGAAGCTGATGAAGCAGGGATGGGATGAGCAGGCAGTGAGGCAGACTGAAAACTGGCTGGACAGCAGGCCCAGAGAGTTGAGTTGGAGGCCAGTAACCATCAGTGTACACCAGGGGTCAATACTGGGTCCAGGCCTGTTTAACATCTTTATTAACGATCTGCAAAAACTGGGGGAGTGGCTGGAACACCAGAGGGACCTCAGCAGGCTGAGAAAGGGACTGGAAGGACCCTCATGAGGTTCAACAAGAGGATGTACAAGGTCCTTGGCTCGGGATGAACAACCCCCACACACTAAAGGTCACCCAGCTCTGCAGCAGCTGGGCAGAAAAGGACCTGAGGGTGCTGGGGACAGCGAGCTGAAGGTGAGCCAGCAGCGTGGCAGGGCAGCAAAGGCAGCCAGCTGAGTCCTGGGCTGCACTGGGAGTGCTGGCAGCAGGTCCTGGAGTGATCCTTGCCCTCTGCTCATCACTGGAGAGGCCATGCATGGAGTACTGGGTTCAGTTCTGGCCTTCCCAGGACAAGAGAGATGGAGCTACTGGGAAGAGTCCAGCAAAGGAGCACTAAAGGGATTTTAGGACTGGGCTGTCTCGTGTGTGAGCAGAGGCTGAGAGAACTGCGAGTGTTCAGCCTGGAGAAGAGAAGGCTCAGGGGGATCTTACCACTGAAAACAACTTTCTGAAGGGAGGGTGTAAGTACAGAGCCAGGCTCCTCTTGGTGGTGTCCAGGGACAGGACGAGAGCAAAGGGGCATTTAAACACAGGGGGTTTCATCTGGACATTAGGAAATACTTTTTTGTTCCTTTTTCGTTGTTTTTTTTTTTTTTGTGTGAAAACTGTAAAAACGGGAACAAGTTGCCCTGGGGAATCTCCATTCCTGAAGACATTAAGAGACATCTGGACATGGTGCTGAGCTAGGTGACTCTGCTTGAGCAGAGGGATTGGGATAGATGACCTCCAGAGGCCCCTTCAACCTCAACGACTCAGTGATTTTGTGCTCCTGTAATACAAACCCAGATATTTTATGCATCAGAAATCCCCTCCTGAAAGCCTCTCTGTTGAGGCTCCCTGCATGCAGGGGAGGGGTGATCCCCACCAGTGGACTGACCTCTGTTACCCCACAAGTCCTTACATTCAAAAAAAAAAAAAAAACTTACCTCTGGAACTCAAACACTCAGAGATGGGGGAAAAAACAGGCAAGAAAAGTATTTCCTCACACCAATCCTGCTTTTCCCCTGATCCCTGCTGACATTATTAGGGCTGCAGATCAGGTACACCAGGAGAAACAATAAGAGCACGTGCTTGCAACCTGGTTAAGTGCCAGTATTAAGACATCTAAATTGCCCCAAATAAAGCCATGAGACAACACCATTCTGTCAAAGCCTGCCAGGAGGGCACGGCTGGGAGATTGTGGACAGCAAAACGTTTCATTTGATTGGTTTTAAGTGAGGTTTAATCAAACGAGGATGAGAGAAAAGCGTGTTACCTTGACTGGGTACCCACCTACAGCTTGGCTTCCCGTAACACCGTCCCCATAACCGGAGGCAGCTTTTTGGCAGAGATGACCTGGTTTGCCTTATTACTGTCTGAGCTCTTTTTATTGCTACTCCAAAATAAAGAGCATTTTTCCTAGAAGACAATCAGTCTCGTTTATGGTGCACTCGGACAGGAATTTTACGAGGGTTCCAATTTTCGGAGGAGATTTGGAAAAAAAATCACTGTTTAACTAGAATCTAGTTATTAATGAAGATTTCGAAATTTAGATTAAACTAAGTCCTATTTAAGATTTTTTTTTTCAGTGTCAAGCCAGTTTCAAAATGGTCTGTTTGCCTTTTCAAAGTGTCACCACACAGGCTTTAGGCCACAATGGCTACAACATCTTGGGGCTATTTTAAATCTGTAAAGATAATGCATTTTTTAGAGCTGCGAGTCCAACAGATGCATTTCAAACTGGCTCCACGATAAACTAGACTAAGATTTAAGTGTTTCACAGCACCTCATCTGCACTGGCTTCAGAGCACACTGCTCCCTCCAGAAGCCAGAGGCTCACAAGACACCCGAGGGAGGAGCTGGGTTCAGGAGACCTTCACGCTGGCAGACACGTGAAGGTGAGGACAATGTCCCCTTCTGCTCAGTGTCCTCTCTGGCATCGCCTGTGACTTCAGGAGGCAGAACTGTGCACGATTAAGCAATCAGGGCTAGATCAGCAACACTTCAATCAAATGAGGAACACACCTTGGCTGCAAATCGCTGTCTTCCAGTTTACAACCTCTTATCTACTCATTAGGTGGAGACATTCATGTGTGGTTGTACAGGTTTCTTAGAGATTTGTAAGGTCATTCAGGTTTTTTAATCACTTTCCAGGTAGTCAGGCACTTCCTGCCATTGATTTTCAGTTCTAACACTTCATAACTCTTTTGGCTGAGCACAGAAATACAGCTGGCTTAAGCCTGGGTTTGGGATATTTCACAAGCAGATATTCAGTTGGCTTGAATGAGTTTTAAATCCAGCTTTTTTTTTTTCCCCTGACCCTTTCTAGCACGGTTAAATCTCTTTGATACCAGGAATTAAGACTTGCACAAAGCAGGGTGAGGAAATGCCAGCTCAGGGCTGCATAAGGTGTTAGGAAGAGCTGCCCAGCCCTTTTTCAGAGCCCCTGGGGCCACATAGCAGAGTGCAGCCTGTCTGCCAGCAACCACTCACATGTGCTCCACCCCAGGACCATCCTGGGAGCACAGCAAGGGTTTGGTGGTGAGCTCTGGGCTCCATGCTGGGCCCTAGCATCACTCCCACCCTGCAGGGGAGTGCGTGGAGGAACAAGGGGATTTGGGATCATGTGTTTAAGTCACTTAAGTAATTGTAGACTTGATTAAAATCCAATTACGTGATGCTCCGAGAACCCTGGCGCTGTTTAAGGTGGGTTTGCATCGGTGTTTCAGGAAGGGCAGGAAGCAGCTGAGCAAAGGCAGCCCCTCACACAGGCTTCCCCTCAGTCTGCTCTCATCCCAAACACTGCCTTTCATCCCCACAAGCAGCCTCTTCACCTCTGCAGCTTTAGAGCCAGCCTAAGCCACCTGCAAAGCTCAATCAGCTTCCTTTGATACAGGGTTAGAGTAGTAAGTTAAATCTCTACTGCCAGAACTAAAGCTTGTAGAGAGCTCAGTGTTACCAGATCACTGTGGAGCCAGAGCCACACATCTCCACTGAATGTTTTGGCTGTTTTATATTCAGTCCTGCCAGCTCAGCTCAGCCTCACCCCACTGCCTGCCCCACAGCTGCCAGCTCCCAGCAGGCTTCAAAGGTCTTCACTTCTCAGTAGGCTCAGAGGGTTTCACTTTCAGAGCTCTTTGGAACAGTTTCCACCGAAATCAACAGTGTTTCAAGGAGATACAGAATCTGTGCTGGGCTGAGAAGCAGCCACAGTGGCTGTGCCCCCTCTACACTAGCACAGCAACTGCATTTCACTGAACAGGCTGTGTTCAGATAGCTCCATCCTCTGGAGAAAGCTCTGTTCTGACTGGAAAAATGCTGAGACACTGCAGAGATGCAGATCTGAGCAATGGCACAGACCAGCTGCTGCCTTCTATGGAGGCTGGGTTGATGAACTAGGATTGTTTCTTCATTAGCTGGGTGAGCTGAGAAATACCTCCTCCTCCAGGAAGCCACTTTCATCACTGCTGTGCACCAAAAATGCCAGAAATGCTTCATGATACCTATTTGCAGCCCAATTTCAAGATGGCTAAGGAAGTCCTGCTGCTATCTGTTGGCACCTGGCACCATTAGGAGATTGTTGGTGGCATCAGCCAATGTTTCCTCAGACATGTTAGATTGTCAGCCCAAACGACATCGTCTGATTGAGTCTGATTTGACTGGCAGCACTTCCCATCAGGCATCTGCAGATCCTTACCTTACTCATTGCCATGAGCACAGCTGCAGAGATAATGAGTGGGACACTCAGCCCAAGGAAGATGTACTGCAGGTATTCCAGCACCGACGGCAGCAGCACCAGGTTGGTGTAAAACTGGTTTAGGACTGAGCCTTCGATGGATCCACTCTGCTCAAAAAAGCACAGTTGTCAGTGGCATTTCCCTCCCACCCAGGGCTGAGACAGACCAGCTGAATGATTCCTTTTCCCACCACCTCCCAGCATAAATTGGGGAATTTATGCAAGGTTCAGTCAGGCTAAAAGCTTTTACTAAATAGCAGGAGTCAGCTGGACATGCACCCACAGCTGGAGGCTGCACTCCCTGGCCCACATGAGGACAGGGATGCTGGCAGCTCTGCCCAGGGCCCTACTTAACCCCACATCTAGGGCAGAGCCAGAGATTTACCAAGTATAGTGCAGGGTTTGTTCAGCTCAGAGGGATTAATGGCATAGCCAAGTATTGAAAAGCCTTCTGTTGGTGCTTAATTAGTCTGGCTGGCTTAAAGCTTTATCCAAAGTGGAGTTTCCCCAGCACTGGGTGATGGGGAAGCAGGAGAAGCTGTGCAGAATGAGGCTGAGGAAGGCAGCTCACCTCTGCAAACCACAGCAGCGGCAGGACCACTGGCTTAATCTTCCCTGTTTGACTGGGGGGAAGAAAATTTAAAAAGAAACATAGGCTTAGGTTTATGGTTGTTCAGGTCACAATTAGCACTCTAATTCTTCCTAAGGGGACAGGTCTGACAGACTGACAGTGGCCAGGAAACCATAAGGAGGTGGCAATCCCTGCTGCTCCAGTGAGCTGCTCCCACCTTGGGGAACCAGGTGCTTTTCATGCAAGAGCAGAGCTTATTCTTCCACGGGGACTTCACTTTACTTCACAGCAGTAAAATCCAGCCAGGGTGCCATCCCAAACCTGGGAGATGAAACCCAGTGAACCAGAGTGCTAAAAGTTCACGTCTCAGCCACCTGGATGGCACCATGGGGGCTGTCTGCAGGTGTTTGCCCCTCAGCCCAAGCAGCAAGAGCACACTGCCACTCTTGTTGGTATTTAACATCTGGCACCACACAGTTTGGTTAGAGAGAGCTGTGAGCTCTCACAGAGCTGGAAGTGTCTTTTGGACACAGGCTTCACTGTCTACCCCACAGGCAGAGAGGGTTTTGCCCCTCCACGTTGCAGGTAACTCCTGAGAGGCAGCACAGTTTGGTGAACAGCTCCTGCCTCCCCAGGAGGAACAGTCCCTCCCTCAGCTGCCTGGACAGGGACAGGGACGCTGAGCTGAGCAGACAGGCAGCCACTCTCTGCACTGCTACTGGATGGAACTTGTGGTCTCTGGAATTGCTGATGTTACAGCAGGAGCCAGCTGGATCCAGGAAAACTGGTCATGGTAAAGCTGCTTCATCTTTGGGGAGAGTAAACTCTGCAGCAAGCTCAGCAGGGAAGGCTAATGGACATTTCTAGGAGGTGACCACTTACATTATACCAGACACCTGCTTTATGTACAGGTTCAGCTGGAGCTTGATGGAGCAATTCATGGGGATGCCTGTCATCTGTAGAGGAAGAGAACAGACAGTTCATCAGTAACTCCCAAGTGACTTCTTGGGACCAACAGACCCTGTCCAGCAACATTCCCAGACCACAAAAAGATCACACTTCAAAGCTGGTCTTGTTGACACCCATTAAGACATTGGTTTCTCCTGACTCTGCAGTTTTGCAACACATTTTTACAAGCACAGAATTTTTGTTGGACTGTCCCTGTTTGCAGTCAGCAGCCTGCAGCTAGATAAAAATATAGTTAACTGTACTGTTATCAGTAGATGTTTGATACTGTAATAAACTTAATTAGATTTTCATAACTGCGATAAGAAAAGCAGTCAGAAGCCAATGTGTAGATAAGACACACAATTTACCTTACCTCATGAGATAAATAGGTTTTTTGCTTGAGCAAACATCACTGAACATTTAGAAAAAGTGACCACGCACAACACAGGCTGTGGGTGGAAAATCCCAAAGTCCTTTTCCCATCAGCAGCTGGGACAATGATAGCTCAGGACACCCCAAATCTGCAGTGGTGACCTCACCCTCACGCTGTAGGTACGTGAGGGGTGTAACACAGCAGCAACACACTGTAAAAGCAGTCAGTTCCAGATGGGCAGGTTGAGAGAAAGGAAGAAGCCAGCCCAAAAATGGAGGTGCCAGCTTGAGCCACGCTGTGGTGTTCAGACTTTGCCAGGCAGTTCTCATGGCAATGTGTATTTGCAGATTTGGGGCATAGCTGGGCTGCTGCCAGATACACCTCCTGGTGTTATAGGCCTGAGTCAGTGGAAAGAACTGCACTGTGCTTATCAAAACAATTATGTTTATAATTAGTTCTGCAATTCTCTAGAAGCCAGGCTAATTATTCAATTAGTTTATGGCTTTGACATTTTTATCTGCACATGCCCTCGCCAGTCTTTGCACTATGGAACCTGCTCGAATCAGTGCCACGAGAACAGAGTGCTGCCACCACGCAGCTGATGGCAGGGTCCCCCCCATCCTGGGCTGGTCCCTGGGGTGAGGGGAGGTCCCTGGTGGGCTCACTCACAGGGTGCACATCGAGGAAAAGCCCGTGCTGGTCCTTGCTGGGGTGCAGGCCCTCGACTGCATCCACCAGGGATGGGTCAGCGTTGTAGAAGTGAGGGTGGGAAATGAACATCGGTGCATCTGCATGGGATTAAAGACATCTTAAGCTCCTCCACGCCCAGCTAAGAGCTTTTTAAACCCTTGCAGTACTTGTTCTGAGCAGGCTTTTATATTTTCTCCCAGCCAGCAATCTCCTTCCCTTCCCTCCCCGCAGGTTGTTCCATTGATCTGGGAGGGTTAATGACTCTCTCCCACCAGCATGCAGCCACAATGCTGTGGCAATTCCCTGCTCCCAGACACGAGTTAGGACACCCAGTCTGGACTGTCAGACACACACTCAACGTCCAAAGTTAACATTTAATTTGGCACTTGTGTGGGCTGCCTCTTCCTTGCTCCCACCACATCCTTGGGCATTCCCACAACTGCCAGCCTCTCATAGGGCTGGGCACTGAAGGAACTTTAGGCACAAGGGTTTTCCCTCTTTCCCTCATTGCTGAGAGGCCTGTGGGAGTGCAAACAGAGCCCATTAATCCTTTTCAGCATCCCAGCAGGCACTAGAACTGCTTTTTCCAGACAGCCAAGCTTGTATTGCATCTCAAATTTAACATTGGTCCATTAAGGAGAGCCAGGGGTGAAAAGGACTTACTGAGCCTACAGCTGCTGACGTTCTGGATGCCAGACTGCAGGCAGGGGCAGAAGCCCTCGTTGGGTGGATAGTCTGTGCCGTTGGCAAAGAGGGTTTTCGGTGCCACAAAGCGATAGGTGGGCACACCCTTGAACTTCCCAGACTGCTCGTACACCAGTGTCATGGATCTGGAAGAGTTTCAATGGAGAGGGATCAGGATTAGCCAACAGGTTCCCAGCCCAGAAATGGGTTCTTATCTTGGCTGGATAAGATGCAGTTGCAATGTAACTTAGACTTTGAGATCAAGATAAACCCTCAGAGCAGTGCTTTGGGGAATGGGGAATGAATATTTAAGCCTTTTGCTTTCCATCTTTCAAGCATTTCTAAAGGGTTGGTCAGGACTAGCTAGGGAGAGAAACCACAGGCTTATAAGTCTCTTTGCTCTATCCAGGTGAGATTTGTTTAAAGGCATGTAGTAATCCCCAGGGCTGCTCTCCAAGAGATAATACCCACTTTATGCAAGCCTTAGTTCTGAGGTGCTCCATTACACTGCATAAATCTCTTTCACAGGCCAACTCCAGCAGTAGACTGCCAGGGCAGTGGAAAATTTCCTTACGTTACACAGCAAGAATTTTTTCTTGCTACTAGAGGCTATTGATGTGCTGCAACGTTGCTGGGCAGGTTTGATGCAAGTTTCCAGGACAAAAATTTGCTCCCTTCACACTTGAGTGAGGCTTGGAGAGATCAGAGAATCACAGAATGGGTAAGTGGGTCACAGTGGGCTGCCAGGACATGCTCACTCCTACAGAGGCCTTCTGATGCTGGGGGCAAGGATGGGGCATTCAGGGCATGTTCACACATGTGCCTCCTGGCCCTGCTCACCCTCCAGCAAGGAGGCAGAGGTTGCTGTAGCACCTGAGCAGGATGAAACCTTGGTAGCTGCCTCTCAGCATCAGCTGCACTTCATGTGCACAGAGCACAGGAGATGGGCCCTGCCTGCTCTTAGCCTGCCAAATGTTTGTGACTCTGTGTGGACAGAGGCAGAGGTTTGGGGAGCTGAGCCACTTCCCCACAGCCCCGTGTGGCAGGAACCTCCTGTGCCAACAAGAAACCGAGCTTGGTTTCCTCCACTTCACTGGAAGCCTTGCCTGGAAGCATGCTCTGTTCCAGAGGTTTCTGTAGTTCTACAGAACGTGTTTGTGTTTAAACTTTGGTAAACTTCCCTGTAAATTCCTGGCTCCAGGTGATTCTGGTGTTTGCTGATGTCCCTTGTGTAGAGGAATCCCTGTGCTATTGCTCAGCTCAGCTGTCTGTTTGCTCACTGAAGGGGTCATTGTTCTCTATTCAACATGAGCACTTGCTTGTTTTTGCAGCACTATCTACAAAGCTGGAATTATCATTATCTTCCCCAAGCTAGGGACAGGGGTTTTGTGCCTGCTTCCCCTCCTTCCAACCTCAGACACAGGCTGGCTCTGTGGGGTACTTTAACCTGTGTGATCAGCTAAGGTCAGGGTGTCTTATACAAGCAGAAGGAAGGGGAAAAAAAACCAACCTAGAACAAAACAAAACAAAAAAAATAACCAGCAAGAAAGAGCCTGGAAATGGTGGCACTTATTTCCCCCCTGACATAATTTCTCCAAGGGTTGTTTAGTCAGCTGAGCTCTGCAGTTCCAGTTGCATTTCCCTCTGACAACCCTTACTTCTCCTAACTGCCCCCATCTTATCTACATTAGATAACCAACATCTGGTTATTTTGTACTGATTAAACATGGGCAAGCAGGACATCTCCAGCGATCTGGGAGGTATTTATGGACACCACAAGATGCTGATAATGAGACAGCTAAGCTCAGAGATAATGCAAACCCAAACTTCAGCGGAAGTTTAACTAGAGAAACAAACCCTGAGCCCTCTGTGTGTGCAGGATGGGAGCAGCATGTCCTGCCACCTGCATGGGGACAGGCTGGCAGCTGTGGCCTCACCTGCAGGCATCAGGGCTGTAGAACTCCAGCGAGGTTGGGGACATGAAGGGTGGCCACATCTCCCCTGCTGTCCCATTGATCATGTTGCACTGGCTGCTCCGCCAGTAGTTCACCTGTGGGACAGGTGGAGAGAGAAGAACTCAGAAGGATGAGATTGCTGGAGTCAGCTTTCACCCCTGCATGCCATGTCCACCACCCCACACTGCTTCCACAGCAGCATCAAAGATCTTTCCCATCTTTTCCAATCCTCCACGGTTCTGTGAGCCAAACATCCACCCAATTAATGCACAAGATCCACCCGGCCCCAAAGGTTGGTCTCTACATTCAGCTGATTTCAGTTAAGAGCAGAATTCCACAAGGGAAGAGTAAAGCATCCTTTAAGGAAAGTATTTAACACTTTTAACACAGGCCACAGGAACCCAAGGCTTCAACCATTAGAGCAACCAGCTCCAACAGCACTGCAAGGGAGTGCAAGTGAAACCCATGAGGAGATGAATTTAATGCTTCCTGAAAAGCCTCTTGACACATGGCTGCCTCCTGGAAACTTGCTGGAACAAAAGTTGCAACACTTGAAGTCCTGTAGAAACTTATTTTCAAACCTGACCCACACACAGCAGCACCCAGAGCTTTCAGCTTTGCCTGATTTAAAGCAGGGTTTCCCCATTATTCAAGGTTTGCTGCCAGACACTCACCTTCTTCAGCCCATTCCACGAATCCACCATGTGAACTTGACTGATGTTCTTCATGCCTGTGTTTACTGTGAACAGTCCTGAATCTGAGTTGTTAAACTGCAGAGAGAAGGAGTCATTGCTTGATTTACTGCACACAGCAAGGCTGCAACACTTTACTGACTCTGGGTGCCTCATCAGCTCTAGGGCTGCCTCACACAGCATCAGCTACTCAGCTTCCACTTAGCTGAGTGTCTGAGCTATCCCCAAGATCAATATTGCTGTGGTTTTAGCATTCCCAACTTTACTTACATCGATGAATAATCCAAACTTGCCCTTGAAAGGGATCAGGCCAGGAACAATCATATTTATGGCATCTATAAGGGGGTCCTCGTACCCCCACATGATCTCTCCCACTGTCCGGTTCATGAAAGCCTCCTGCTTCAGGCTAGCCAGGGCTCCACTCAGCAAAATCTTCAAAAAATTTGGCAGTTTTTCCATCATCACAGCTGCTCCCTGAGAAAGAAAACAAATCCCTGTGATGACAGCCCTGTCCTTACCAAAGATGAAGCATTTTTGGTGCTAACCAAAATCGTTCTGCTGTTCCCATCTATAGCCCCAGAGCAATCCTCTGGACAGACTGAGGTTCTTCATTCATTCCCAGTTGGGGAATAAAGCAGCTGAGGGCTCACAGGCTCAATTTCCCCACAGGATGCTCAGATGAGGATGCAGACTGAAGACCAGCTGCTCTGCACACTCTGATTTTGGAACGGTAGCAGCCTAACAAACAATTAACACCCACAAAGCAGAAAATTGCATTATATAAGCTTAACCACCTTATTGCTTGATCAGCCTTAAGCCCTACAAGAAATATCACCACCCTCCCCTCAAGCTCAGAAGGTGGAACCCATCCAGGCAACAAGCACTTACCATCATCATAATATTTGGCACAACAATGTACTCATCTTCCGTGCCATTGGACAAGTGTGGCTGGAAGAAAAGGTTCCGGTACTCCAGGTAAGAAACGGTATCATTGTCATGGAATGTGATATTTGTTTTATACCTATACTCCCTGCAAAAGAGAGGGGAGATCATGGCAACCATCCTTGGCAGAGTCCCTGCAGCCTATGGAGCAAAAATGGGCTGCACAAGCCTGGGCTTGCTGCTGGGGGAGACCAAACGCCAGCGAGGAGCCACAGGGCAGCTGGGGAGGCAGTGTGGGAACAGATGAACAGAGCTAAACCTCCCACCCAACCAGGGTTGGGTCTGGCAGGAGGACAGGGCAGCCCAGGCATCCCTGACAGGTTGGATTCTTGCAGACACAGAGCGTCTCTTCCCAACTCAATACCCAAGAAATCTAAAACGAAAACATAAATCTCCTCTGTTGCTTCACCTACAATCGTTGGAAAGCCCAGCCACATCAGGGAGGGGCCCAGATAGGCAAAGTCACAGCAGCCCACACACCAAAACAGCCTGCAAACAGGAGAGGAACAGCCAAGATGCCACATGTTCCACCAGTGAGCCCACACTGATTTGCTCCCAAGCTCCCTAATGGCTCATGGGTTCAGGGCAGCCTAACCCTCCACAGGGCATCGTGGCCCCTCTGCTCCTCAGGGCTTCATCCACGTCCTGCACACTGCCCAGGGCTGCTGGGCTCCAGCCCAGGCCACAGGGGCAGCCCCAGCCTCATGGAGTGCTCTGCAGCAGTGTGAGGCTGTCCCCAACATCACAAACCTGTCACTGCTCCTGGACGAACTGAAGCTCAACTCACCAGCAAAAACAAAGTCCTTCACTGTGGAGCCTCTGTTTTACAGCCCACATTAGGGAAGGGCACTAATCTTGCTCAGCAGGAACACAAGGACACTAATAAGCTTTGCCCCTTTGTTTATTCTTATTTACAGTGAGTGAAGCTTTTCCCCAAGCCAAGACAGCAACATACAGAACCCACACGGGGGGAAACAAGGGCACATCCATCCTGGAGGCCTCCCCTGCACACCACTGCTCCAGCAGCTTTGGATTAGCCAGTAATCTTCCCACATGAGCTTGCTTAGGCTGCTGACTCAACCTCACCACGTTACTGTAGGCTCTAATATATCGAAGATCACAGTTTATGGGGAATTTCACACTCAACTCGACATCAGTCACCACTTCCCCTTTCAGGTGCTGAGAAGCACCTGGGCTTCAGCCACCATCCTGAGCCATGGCAAACAGACCCAGCCCTGCTGTGTGTGGGTCTGAGCCAGTGTTAGTGCTCCATGCTTGTTCTCCATGCTGGTTCCCATGACCAGAGCACTCATGTTAGGCACATCCTGGCTCTCATGTTAAATAAGGCCTTAGGCTGACTCATGATGTTTGATATCAAGGCAACTCCAGCTCAAGAGCTGGGCTCTTGAATGCACAATGAAGATAAAAGAGCACTCAGAAGACAGGGTCACCCACTACCACACCAACACCCCTCATACCCATGTTTGGGCCATATCAGCCCAGATCTGCCTGCCCAACAGGCCCCAGAAAAAAGATTTTGCCCCATGGGAGCACCCACCAACCTTACTGCCTCAGCGACCAGAGCTCCTACGTGTGCCTTTAGCAAGATCAGAGCAATTAGAGCAGATTTGGGTCACTTTAAAATCCAGTGCCCCTGGGCTCTCACCAAGCCTGCTGATGCCATGTCCGCCTGGCAGAGGAGCCAGCCAGCAGCCTGGCAGGCAGCACAGTGCTCAGGCTCATGCCAAGCTGGACCACAAGTGGTACCTGACCTGTACACGTAGGGCCCACGCTGGCTCAGCACTGGCTTGGCTCCCTGCAGGACCTGCTTGGGGTTCAGCACTTCGAAGAAATGCACTGTCAAGTAGAAAGGAACAGGGATGTCTTTCCACATTCGGAAGGAGATGCTGCTGGGGTCGATCCTGACATTCTGTAAGGAGAAAAGAAATAAAAAGGCACAACTTTTGGGCTCTGTGGCTGCAGATGAACACATCCACCCTCAGCTCAACGTGAGGCACAGCTGAAGGTGGCAGTTAGAACAGAAGCTCTCCAGAGACCCAGGTGTGTGTTCAGTGGCAGACTGAAACCCAGCTACATCTACAGTGAGAACTCCTCTGTGTGCAGAAGCATCAGGTTTATGCCACAGGATGTCTGCTGGTTTATTTATCCAGGCTTAACTTTTCTAATCCTACCCACAGGGCTTCTGAGTGTTTTTGATGTGCTGGAGACTTGGCTCTGAATTATTCACTACTCTGAATGTTTTACTTGTCTGGCAGAAAAAAACTCTGTCCCAAAGGCCTTTGCTCATGGGGTTGGCAGCTCCACACAGCTAAAAGCAATCCAGAAGAGGTGGCACAGCTATCCTCATAACTGTTTGGGTACCAGCAGGCAGAGCCCACTAGATTCCCAAAAAGAAGATGGAGAACTGGGATGGCAACCCAGTTGTGTCCCAAGAGCACAGCCCAGGACACCTCTGCCTCCTCTCAGCTGCCAACCTGCATTGACTCACTGACTGACAAGCTGATCATGAGGCAGGTCAAAGGCAAGGCACAATCGTGTTCCCATATCACTATCCTGAGTGCTGGGAAATGCCTGCAGGAGCCAAAAGACAACTTAAGCCCTCCTCAGCTCAGGATCTGGCACATCTGCCTCCTCTCCCTCCCTGCCTCCGGGGCACCACAGCAGGAGCAAAAGCTTGTTCCTTCTTGAACACTTGCTTTGAATGTGTTCCACCATAATCCTTTCTTCTGGAAGCACAAATCCTTGTCCTTGCTTAAATAACCCAGCCAGCTTATGGAAGTAGAGTTGATCCACCAGCAGGAGGGGGGACGTGGGCTTTGTGCTGCTCAATCTGACTGGACACATATCTGCTGACACAGGGAGTTGAGGTGCCAGAGGTTTCCCCATAACATCTCATCTTTGTTGAGACATTTCATGGCAAGGCTGAGCTGCCTGTGAGCAGCAGGTCCCTGCAAGCCGCTCATCCAAGCCCTACCCCTGGGAAGGCATCTCCCCAATGCTGTGTAACCCATCTAACCCAGAAAACTCTTCCCACCACCACTTCCATGCCAACCACGCTGCTCTGATTTTGCCAGCCTCAAGGATTTCACGGCAAAGAAGCAGTAACAGGACATATTTTTATTTAGTCTGCTTTACAACCCTGCTTCCCAAGTGTCAAATTGATTACAATCAAGAACATCTCCTTTCCTTTAATTGTTTGTTCTGTTTTGACCACTTGTTGCATATGGATTTATTTTTATAATAAGTCCCCAGTCAGATGGAGCTACATCCCAGCTCCCTGCTGCCTTTCCCAGCTCCCTCCTACCTGGGCACAGCAGCTCAAGGTACTCTATAGGCGCTGCTAAGATCCCCACAACAGTTTAGCCTTAAAATTAAGCCACTTTTAGGTCAAAACAAACATGGTCCTACGTCTGAAATAAAAACAGACTATTTGCCAACTAGATGGGTTGCAAAGGGTCACTGGGATGTTTGACCCCTCCTGACCAGGCTGATCTTTGTTCCCCGGGAACTGAAAGGAACTGGTTACAGCCCATGGGCTCCAGATGGAGCCAGCAGAGCAGCAGCTCCACAACAGCACCCAAATCCTGCTTCTCCAGGAGGGAGGCACCCTGCTCAGCACAACTGAGACAGGAGGTTTCCCCTGCAGACTGGGAGGAGCAGTTAAGCCGGCTGTCAGCCACATCCTCTCAGCAGCCTCCTCCTCACCCTGCTCCACCAGCCAGGACCAAGCTGCTCCCAGGACAGCATCAAAGGTCCCAAGTGGAGCAGCCATGGGTGACACAGGGATGAGCTGATGCACCTCATTGTGTGCAAGCTCATACCTCAGGCAGGTCTGTGGCATTCCAGATGTTTCCAGAAAAGCAATAATCCCCAGGTTTTACAGGGCAAACCCCACAGGCAGCCCAGTGCAAGACAGGGCAGGAGACAGGCGCCAAGTTCCCTGCAGACTTCACCTAGAGAGATCCTTAAAACAATCACCTCTCTGTGCCTAAGTGCTTTTCCATCACGATACACCATCCTGACAGAGCTCAGGAAGCCAGGTGGGCAAAGCAGCCTTTACCAGCCCAACTCCAGCCCTCCAAGCTCCTCTTACCCACACTACTCTGGAGACCAACCCAGGAGTTTCAGTAAGGGCCTGAGTGCTTCTACTCACCCTTCATCATTCAGTTATTAGGCTAAAAGTGAAATGGAAAAAATATGAGCTCAGAGCAATTTTGCGTCATGTTGAAGATAGGGAGACCAAGGTCTTGAGGAGAAACGAGGGTTGGATCTTTTCCTCATCTTCTGTTCTCATTACAAATTACTAGTACTTAGCTAATTAGGTTGAAAGAATCAGGATTAGCTAAAAAGAGGACAGAAAGGTTTTTGCACAAAAAATATCATTTCTGTTCTGCAGGGGCCATTCAGCCTTTTATTTGCAGGGACCAGTTCCTGACGTCCTGAAACTGCACAAAGATTTTCTACTCTTTAATCTACAGGACAGTCTGGCTCTGCCCAGCCAGCAGCATTTCTAAGGGGTATGTTTAAGTAGGTCATTTTCGGCAGAGACTTTGCGCCACATACAATGCCAGCTATTGGCTATTAGGTGTTTGTTCACCTCTTTCATCAGAAGTAAATTTTCAGGGGCTGACCTGGGTAGGTGGAAGCTTGGACAAAGGCCAAGACAGGGAGTACATCTGCCCTGGACAGGGAGAAAAAGGTTTGGCTAAATGTGGGGATGACTTCTACATTACAGCAGGATAACTGGTGTGCAGCAGCAGCAGGGACAGGAGTGCTGGTCTTAAAACTGTGCAGCAGGTACTGAACAGACCAACAACTCCATCCACAGCCCCACATTTTGGCAACAAACCCTCTCCAGCCTCAGGACCTCTCCTGTGGATAAAACAGCTCTTCAGAGAAGCGACTCCTCAGGCTTTCAGTCTAGGAGAGAGATGATCTGGAGGTTGCTCCATGCACAAGGTTTCTCTGGAGTGCTCCTGCACATCACCCTGTCTCCAGCAGGGAAAGCATCTCACCAGAGCACGTGTGAGCCCGGACAGTGTGCTCGACTGTTTATGAAAGGAAAAACTGGGGCTGCAGGTGGATGCAGGAGGGAAGGGAGGAAGTGTTGGTGCTCAGGGTGATGCTCAGCCAAGCCCTGCATCCCCAGCGATGCAAAGAGCGCTCGTTATCCAGGGGTGTCGGAGCTGCGCACTCGGGGTAAATTCGCTGTCGCCAAGGGTGGATTTGCCCAGAGTAAGAGCCTGAGGCTGCTCGGAGCCGCAGCGGAGACACTGCCACCAACAGCGCTCGGCTTTGCGGATCGCCCCGCACAAAGCAAATGTGCCCGCACCGCACCGAGCCCCGCACTGCACCGAGCCCCGCACCGCATGGCTCCGGCCACCGCACCGCACCGAGCCCCGCACCGCTCCGAGCCCCGCACCGCTCCGGCCACCGCACACGGGCTCCAGCGCACCCCGCTCGGCCCCTGCACCGAGCCCGCACCGCCAGCGCTCCATCCCATCCCATCCCATCAGCCCCGCATCGCTCCGGCCACCGCACACGGGCTCCAGCGCACCCCGCTCGGCCCCTGCACCGAGCCCGCACCGCCTGCATCCCATCCCATCCCATCCCATCCCGCACTGCCCCCCATCCCTGTCCGAGCCCCCCGCGCCCCCTCAGCCCCGCTGACCTTGATGACCTGCTGCCTGATGATGACGGGCCCCAGCAGCAGCAGGCAGCCCCCCAGGACCGCGCAGGCCACCCCGGCCACCCCCAACCCCACGGACAGCCTGCACCGGGCCACGGCCATGGCGGGGCGGAGCCGGGAGCGAACCGGGACCGGTACCGGGAGCGGGTCCCGCCGACGCCGCCGCTTTATGGCCCCGCGGCCCGGCCCGGCCCGGCCCGGCCGAGGGGGCGTGGCCGTGGCGGAGTGGGCGTGGCTGGTAGATGAGGCCACGCCCCCAGCCCCGCCCTCCCGCGGCCCGCCGGGAAAGGGAAGCGGAGCGCGGTCGGTGTAAACGCGTGTGTGCACACGGAAAAACGGGCAAATTGGTCAAATATGTATAGAAAGGAAGTGTATAGATAGATTAAATATCTATGCGGTCGTAGAATAGAATGGGTTTGCGTTGGAGGGGATCTTAAAGATCATCTCGCTCCACCCTCTGCAAGGACACTTTTCACTATCCTGAGTTGCTCCAAGTCCTGTCCACCCTGGCCTTGGGCACTTCCAGGGATGGGGCAGCCACAGCTTCTCTGGGATGTCTGTTCCTGTGCCTCATCATCCTCACAGTAAAGATTTTTTCCTAATATCTAATCCAAACCTAGTTTTTTTCAGTTTCCTTCTTGTTCTGTCACTACATGCTGGACAAAAAATACATGAATGTGTTTGTATTCATGTATATATATGTATATGTCTCGCCTGAGGAGTAAACATCCATCACCCATTAACCTGCCTCTGTTTTTCCATTTAACCCAACTCTGCTTTTTCCAAGGAACTGGGTCTTTTGTACATCTGAACGTGGTCCTGAATAAAAGCCTTGTTGAGACTCATCCCCAGGTGCATCTAGAAGGCAGCAGAAAATAAAGAGTCCACTTTGTGACAGCCTGTTTTAAATCAGTCATGTGCAACATCCCGCTGTCCCAGGTGAGCTAACATATCTGGAATCTGGAGTGCTTCCACCTGCCACACGCTGTCCTGCATGATGAGAGGAGACACAGTCTGGTGGCTGCCACCAGGCACAAAGGCCCCCACCTGGGTGAAATGTTTGTATCTTCACACTTAGTTGCGTCTTTTTTTTTTTTTTTTTTTATTCTAAACTTTTAACCCTGATAGTTGCCTCTGTTTAATTACCAGATCAATTAACCAATGTCTCTCTTCAATTCTGGTCTCTGCTATGACCTCTCCCAGCAGCAATGCTTGCAGAACAGCACAAAGTAGGTGCTGTGTTTTCTTTTACTTTTTAAAACATTGTTTTACAAAGAAATGCTGTGAAATGAATTTTTCTTCAAATCCCACTAAACCCCAGTAAAATCCCAGAGATTCCCCGAGGCGCTGTGGAACAAAGCAATCGTGAGAAGATCTCTGGGAACAGCGTGTTCTGCCATGGTTAGAACAGAACACAACCTTAAAGTTTAGGACATGCTTTGCTGTTCTCATCAAATTTTGCTGTTCTGTGGTTGATCCCAGCCCAGCTGTGGTCTCTGCTCATGGGTGCTGCCTCTGAAGTGTTGGCACTGCCACTGTGAGCCTTGAGGTTCCTCAAAACCAGCGAAGTGACCTGCAGAGGTCACAGAACCATAAAATGTTCTGGGCTGGAAGGCACCCACTAGGATCAAGTCAAAAACCTGCACAGAACAGCTCCAAAATCCCACCATGTGCCTGAGAGTGTTGTCCAAACTCATCTTGAGCTGTGGCAGGCTTGGTGCTGTGACCACTGCCCCAGGACAGGTTCAGCCCACCCTCGGTGGGAAAAACTTTTTCCTAACACCCATTCAAACCCTCCTGACACAACTTCATGCCATTTCCTTTGTGGTCAGCAGAGGTTGACCCAGCTCAGGACACCACAGCAAGGGTTTTTCCTCCAGGCTTCCTGCTCTGCCTGCTCCAGGCCATTATAGATTTGTCCAGCATCATGGTTTTTAAATATGCCATTGTAAAGGTTTTTTACTGAGACATTGAAAATTAAAGGATTTCTTAAAACAGCTCTGCAGTCATTTGTGAGGCTTTTGACATGCAACAAACACCCCGTGTCCTCCTGCAGCTGCCTTCAAATCAGAACCAAGTGCTCCCTGATTCAGTGACACCCTCCCCTGGACTGAGCAGACACCTGCGTTAAAGGAGTCCTGCTGAAGGGATGCTCAGTTTGTGAATGCTGATGTCCCGAGAGGACAGAAAGCCCACACGACAACAAACTGTTCATTGCAGCTGTTGGGGTTCAGCTCAGGAACCGGGAGCCAGGGCAGTGTGGGCAGAGCTCGGGGCACTCCCGTGGGGGAGGGCAGGATGTCCAGGATGTCACAGCACCAGCTCCCACCCACACAGGATTTAGCTCCTTAGCATTCAAATGCTTCCTCCAGCACACCAGAGATCTTGGTGCTTCTCACAGGCCTCACTAGTAAAAGCAACTGGCGTTCATTGAGTCACACCCTGCTGCCCCAGCCAGGCAGTGTAAGATCCCTCGGCTCCCTTGAAGCCAGTCCCCAGCTGAGACCATTATTCAGCTCCCTCTGTATCCCCTTCCACAGGTGAGTCCGTGTCACCACTCCTGCAAAGGGCATTTCTGTTTTACTCTCCCTTTTCCCTCTCTACACACCCGGCACAGCCACGGTTAACTCCTCATCAGCCCCTCCACCACAAACACTTCAGAGGGAACTTCCCTTTTGCCAGGGCTTCTACAGCCTACAGGAAACTGCTCTGTGACAGCTCAGCTCAGCAGCATTTCCACTTGGGGCACAGCTGGAACAAAGCACATATTCAGATTTCCACTAAGTGCATCTGAAATTACTACTTGCTTCATGTCATTAAGCTTGACAAAAAAACACGTCCACCCCGTAACTGATGAGATCTACACTTCCCACTCCACTTTTGAAGCCCAAGGGCTGCAGGACCAGCAGTGACATCCTGTTACCCCAGCCCGTGACAGAGATACAGGATCACCCTTCTGCTGTTTCTCCACTAATCCCAAAATAAGGGCAGTTGCTGGGCAACCCAAAGCAGTTTCAAAGCCTCCCGACTCAGGAGCATCTACAGCTTCCCGTTTCTTATCACTGCTTACACAATGTCCACAGCTGCACAACATCTGCAGGCGGGCACTGAGCTGCAGCCAGGTATTAGAACACTTATATAACCCCAGGAAAACCGCAGCTGAGGGATTACTACAATCACCAGGCATGTGGAAGCCTTGCATAGGGCAGTTTTGCAACTCCTTTGTCTGTGAAAACTACATAATTATTGTTTATTAGAGAACCGGAGTCAGGCAATGTCATGAACGGCTGCTCATGTAACTTGGGACACAAACTTTTATGGATGCAACATCTTTATTGGAATGAACAAGTAAGTGCAGGGAACCTTTTATTTGGAAGCAACAACCTGCTTGGCTCAGTTACCACCCCTGAGGCGCAGGACAAGGTGCAGAGTCGACTCCTTCTGGATGTTGTAGTCAGACAGGGTACGGCCATCCTCCAGCTGTTTGCCAGCAAAGATCAACCTCTGCTGGTCTGGGGGAATGCCCTCCTTGTCTTGGATCTTGGCCTTGACATTCTCAATGGTGTCACTGGGCTCGACTTCCAGAGTGATGGTCTTGCCAGTCAGCGTCTTGACAAAGATCTGCATCCCACCCCTGAGGCGCAGCACGAGATGCAGGGTGGATTCTTTCTGGATGTTGTAGTCAGACAGGGTACGGCCATCTTCCAGCTGCTTGCCAGCAAAGATCAGCCTCTGCTGGTCAGGAGGGATTCCCTCCTTGTCCTGGATCTTGGCCTTGACATTCTCAATGGTGTCACTGGGCTCTACCTCAAGGGTGATGGTCTTGCCCGTCAGGGTCTTGACAAAGATCTGCATTCCACCGCGCAGGCGCAGCACCAAGTGCAGAGTGGATTCTTTCTGGATGTTGTAGTCGGACAGGGTACGGCCATCTTCCAACTGCTTGCCAGCGAAAATCAGCCTCTGCTGGTCTGGGGGAATGCCTTCCTTGTCTTGGATCTTGGCCTTGACATTCTCAATGGTGTCACTGGGCTCGACCTCAAGGGTGATGGTCTTGCCCGTCAGGGTCTTGACGAAGATCTGCATTTTTTCCTGTAAGAGGCAAAACGCGCCGTGCTTTAGCGCCTGTTCCCATTCCCCGTACCCAGGGCTGCGCCCCGTCCGTGACGTCACAGCGCAGGCCCCGCCCACACGCATGGAGGGGCGGGGCCCCGCCCGCTTCCCCTTCCCGCCCGAGGCGCGCGCCCGCCACCATCTTGGAGCACCGCTGCGCCTGCGCCGCCGCCATTTTGCCGGTGGCCGCTCGCCCTTCCCCACCACCGCCGCGCGGTGCTGCCGTTAAAGGGGAAGGCAACGTCCCAACCCTCCCCCCACATCACTGCCTGCCATCACCCCCAATCGCATCTCCTCAGCGCACACAGCCCTCCCTCCCGCCCGCCCGCACGTATCTAGGCCCTCTCCCCGCCGAGCTCTCACCGCGGCACTGCTCGGCAAAGCCCACACCACAAACGTCACCCAGGGCCAACTGCGCCACGCATCCCTCCGCTCGGTGCTTATATGGCCCCCGGCGCCACGCCCCCGCATTCGGATCACTCCGCTACGCACTATTTTCCTCGCGCCGCGAGCTTCCGCTTTGCTGCACGGGCGAGGGGGGAGGGCGGTGAGGCGACGCGGAGGGATCGGCAGCGCGCGGGGTGTGCTGAGGCTACCGCGCGCGGGACGGCGAGCGGCGCGTCCGGAGCGGCGGGAAAACCCGGCCTGGAGCCCCCGGAGTGGGTCCGTGGCTGGCCCATCTTAGTGACCCCAACTTGGAGACGCAGCCGCGTGTAAAAGTTTTGTATCGGAGCCTTTCGTTGTGTTCAGGGGTTTAAACCGTGCAGCTGCGCCCTAAGTTGATAAACATCTCCTTATTGTCCACCCCTGGGGCAGGGCGAGGGTCGGCTCTGCCCGGAGCCGCACCATGAAGGGGGCTCCTGAGGGAAGGAGCTCGTTGCTTTATCCCAAGGGACGCCTCGAGTGTTATTTCTGTGTGAGAAATTTTCATTTTGTATTACAATCTTGATTTTATTTCTGTGTGGGTAATATTTCTGTGTTTCTCCGCATGTGGTGGGGCAGGGTTGGTGTCTGTCACCCACCCGGGCACAGCCACGCTGGGATGGCTAAACCAAGGTTTATCCCTTGGTGCCATCGTTCCCCTGGAACAAGGGACAGGGCAGAGAAGGTGATGCCGGGCTTGGAGCAGCCTGGAAGGGCAGGGACCACCCCAGGAAATGGGGGCTGCAGGATGCTCCTGCCTAGGGATCGAGATCAGGGAGCCTGGAGAGGGGACATGAGGGACAAAGAAAGGCAGGTGGATAAAGAGATTAAATCCTGCAGATGGCCTGCCTGAGAGATAATCAATGGCTGTGCGTCTATGTGCACACATAAAGTGTGCATCTGAGCTGTAATGGAGTTTATAACTCAGGAGTAAAATCAGAAATAAGACTAACAATAATGCCTATTTCTTTTTTTTGTTCTCAAAGAGCACCTTCTGCTCCACCTCTGCTGCACCCTGACAGCCAGCTCCTGCACCAACCATCCTGCTCAAACTGCACAGCAATTGCAGGCAACAGCTGGGAACAGAATGCAGCTTTGTCTGCAAGATCCAGGCAGTGCCATTCCATTCGATCTGCCTACAAAAATCCTTCATTTGGCAGCGCCCAAAGAAAATGGAAGGGACACCAATGACACCCAGGGCTGCTCACCAGCAGGAAAGGAGCAGAGGTCCAGCAACAGCTTTGTGGTTTGTAGAAAAGTGCCTGTGTCTGCCTGACACACGGAGCTGTTACAGGAGGGGAATGCTCTGCGGAGCTCTTTGGCCTCTGCTGCTTTGTGTTTGTATTAACACTCACTGTAGTGATCATCATCTCAAACACTCGGGTCATTCAGATGGAAAAAAAACCAAACCACAGAAGTCTTTTGGTTACTTCTCAGTGCTCAGTGGCTGACACAGTGTGCATTGGGAGTGTAGAAACATCAAAAATTGGAGAAGCCTTCTAACTTTAGGTCTTTCCTTAGCAGAAAGTGAACAAGAATGTTAAGCTTGTTCTTTTAGTTACAAGGTGAGCACTTAGGACTGGTCAGAAAATCATCAAAAAGGCACCTGGAGACGTATTTTGTGACAAAAAGTCTATTACTACAAATTTTCTCTTATATTCACGTGCAGGGCACATTCCAGAAGTACAGCCAGGGAGATCCAGGGAATAATTTATAACAGGGATTTTCACACTCACCAGCGCTGTAGCCAAACACTGGCTCAAAATAACAACTGGAAGTAAGAGGAGTAAATAAATAGCACAAGGAGCTTTTCAGCCGCTGTGGCAGGAAATGTCACTTTGCATTTGTCAGCTCCTGCTGCTGTTGGTAACCAGGCAGAGAGACAGAGCAGCTGCCACTGAGCTGTGTACATCAGAGCTGTCTCGGGCTCTGTGCGGGCTTGGGTCTGCCTGGACCAAACCTCGCAGCTGTGCTGGAGCTCTCAGCCTTCCCAGACACACAGAATTCCCCCATGAGCCCCCCAGAGTTTCCCTGGCCAACCTGAGGAGATCAAAGCAGGGTGGTTGTTTCCCCGAGAGCTCTTCCCAAGCTCCTGCAGTGTCACAGCCAGGAGTGCAGTCAGCTGTGGTGTCCTGGCTTCTGTCCTTCCCCTTTGGCTCTGGGAATGTGGGGCAGAGCCATCCCCTGAGCTCTGTGTGGCTGCACGGTGTGGCAGTGTCAGCCTGGGATGAGCAGTCACTGTCCCCCTGCATTTCAGAGTTTGGTGCTTTATCCTTCTTTTTGGGCCTCCTGTGTCCCTTAGTGCAGAGATGGGACACTCAGTGGGACACAAAAGCCGTGTGTGCTTGCACAGGTCTGAGGAGAACCAAATGAAAAAAAAAAAAAAACAAAACACACTTTATGCTGCTGGGAAGTGCCACTGTGGGTCCATTTTGGCCACACGGTCAGTCTGCTGCTGCTTAATGGGATGAG